TTTCGACAAGGTATCCGATGTTGACAAAACTTTGTCGAAACGTTGTACATTTGCTGTTATGTTAAACTTATATCAAAGTTTTCTTCATTATCCATTCAAGCCGTCTCCAAGCATTATTAGTCTCAAAGTGGGTTCCTTGTCATCGAACCATAGACTAACTTATTGTAATTCTTTTTCTTTCATTACTAGAAGAGTGAATCTTGGCAAGACAGAAATATTAGATCCATTTAATATTTTGGTTCACCAACTGTCACTTGGTTTGGCTGATTTTGGCAAAATTCAACCCTTATGAGGACCCTTGTACAAGAGCAAATAGAGGAACAATACTGGGTCTTGAATTTCCTTCTAATCAAAATATGAAGTTTTACCAAAAAAAAACAAAAAAAAACAAACCCAAAACACTTTTAATATTAATTTAGCATATTTAGAGTTACACTATTATAAAGTTACAAGTAGTCAGAAGGTCAGTCAAATTTATATTTATATTAAACACATCTTTTGAACACGAATTGTACTTTTTTGGGCTGGGGTATTTTTGCATTCCAATACAAGTTAAATTTATAATCATACTAAATAATGCATAATCTATAAATAGGTTCCTGGGTATGTAGATATGTGTTGGCTTGATAATATCAAAAGAAATGAAGATCTTATCATGAATATTTATAGATATTTTATGGAATGATATACTGCTGGGATATAAAATTATTTAACAAGCCTAATGATAGTTAAATCTTTTTTTAAAGTTCAGTTTCCAGTACATTGAATATGATAATTTGAATAGTAGGTGAATACACAATACCACGTAAAGTAAATCTAAAATAAAGCTTAAATCCACAATAACGGAACAGCAACAACTTTATATGGATACAAGTTTTGATACTTTGGATTGAAGAGAACACATGAAAGTGCTGAAACTTGTATCCACTATCCATATATATTTGGTGTTGTTCTGTTATCGTGGATTTAAACTTTATTTCATGATAATTTGATTTGAACTTATAGAAGCATGTTCCACATAATTCAGCTATAGAATAACACTTATGTAGCCACATACAATTTTTAAAACCAATGTACTCGGTTTCTTTAAATGCAGTAGTATTTAATCAAGAAAAGAAAAGAAAAAATGAGATTGGTTTGATTTCTTACTTACCAAAAAAAACTCAACATCTATAGTAGATTTTCCATTAAAACAAGTGTACTTGAAGTCTACTGGCTAGTAAGAGTGACATCAAGCCTTACAGCTGCATGTTTGTCATGACTGAGAACTCTTCCATTCACAACAAGTCTCAGTGGAGTGTTGACACGGATATTTGTGAACTGGTAATGCTTTGTACCCAGAAGAACAAAAAACAAATGTTCTGTTGCATCTTGCATATTTTATAGCCATGCACATTTTACAAAAAATATTTAAGAATGATGTTTCAGCTTTCTTTTAGGCAATAAATATGATAAAGGAATTTAAACTTTATAAAAGGTTTTAAATAAACCTAAGAAGACTTTAATCAACATTATACACATCATGCATACAAGCATAAATATCTATTACAGAAACATTTCTAAATCTCTGAAAGTTCATAACAAAATCATCATCTTCAATGTGTGTTTGAATGGTTAGCATTATTTGTTTTGTTTTTTTAATTTTGAGCAAAGCTACACAATGGCTATTTAGGATAGCCACTGTAATTTAGCAGCGAAAGAATAGAGGGAAAGCAGTTAGTCATTACCACCCACCGCCAATTCTTGGGCTAACCACTTGGCCATGCTGGGCCTGCGGGTTAATATGATATATTTAATTTTGTAATAATACATATCTGTTAAAAATCAGTATACAACACGCTTTGATGTTAACCTTTTTAGTAAGAACTTTCTAAATCCCCCCTCCCTTATTGCAGTGAATAGTTACATTATTGTTACCTTGATTCTTAGATTTCCCTATGGTAGATTATTGTGTAACATTTTGCTGTTACAAAATTTAGAATTAACTACATTAGTTATTTTAGCACTCTGTTAAAGTAGTATATGATATATGACATATTTTAGTATTTAAATATAAACTCTGAAAGTACAGTAATGAATTATATTTGCATCTTCATCTAACAGCAAGCCATGACTGTTTTACACCTACAGATTTTTATAGTAATTACTAATACAGATAGATCTTCCAAATTAATAAATGACAGTTTTGAAGCACATTTAATGCTTGTGATAAGGGTTCAAATTAACAGGATGAAGATATATCTTTAAGTTATTAACAGCACTTTATTCTCAATTATCATATGTTCACACCTACAGAGATATTAAAGTATGATAGCACTGTCCCTGACATAACTTTTCTAAAGCACCCAAGCTTTTAGGATATTTTTCTGAATTCTTATATTCTCACTTACACACACAATACTGCACAAATATACAAAAATAATTATGTCACTTCAAACCAGCAGTTTCCTTTTCAGCATTGTGCAGAAATGTCTGAATTTTTGGAAACAAGGTGGTTAACACAATATCATCCAGATAACTAGCAAAAAGTTGAAAGAGAGTACATCATTTTCAAATTATATATATATAAGAATAGAGAAAGATATTTAAAGCATGTTAGTTTAACTATAACTGTAAACTAAGAATGATTTCAGTCTGATAGAACATACTGTATTTATATCTTTGTATATTATTTTTAATACGTGAAGTTACACCAGGAAAAACACCTAAGAACAATAATATAATTTAGTACATTTCCTTGTATTAAAAAAATTAAATTTCTTCATAACCTAATGTATTAACTAATCTTACATGTATTATCCAGAGACCAAAAGCAACTATATGTATCCAAAATTACTTATGTATGATCCTCTTGATTCTGTGACATGTGAAAAAATTAGCTTTATGATTAATTTTTAGTCAATCATTATAAGGTGCCGTACCAAAATGGATCCATGTTAGTACATAATTTGACCCAATCCAAAATCTGTGGGTAAAAAATATACTCAGGTTAGTTACTAAAGAATTAATAAAAAACACTTTTAACTTATTTTTAAAAATTTCAGAAACTTGAACTCTTTCGAAATAATAAAACCAACCTGTCCTACCTTATCTTTATATTTGAAGTCTACAGAATGTACATCAGGATCTGGAATGGCTACTGAGTCTCCAATAATTACTCCTTTACCTTCAGCTATGTTGTAAACAGTTACTGAAACACATGCCTCATCTTCATCCACCAAGCAAAAAGAGCTAAACAAATACAACATTGAAAGAGCCACAATACTTTATTAACTTTGTAGTTTACAGGTTTTACAATATGAGTACTCACACACACACACACACATTAAAACACATACAAAAAAAGACTTTTAATATACACACATTCCGCTTTTATGAAGGAAATTTTATTTCAGGTTACAGAAATGGTGAGTTGACAAAATACAGCACAAGTGGAAAATTCAATATATCTGTTACATTACTTACAAAGGCACTTCATCCTCTGTAACAATGTTTCCCACCACCTTTCCTAGCACAACTTTACCCTGATTCACTCCAGGTAACAACTGACAAAGCTTTATGTGCTGAAATGTGTTATGTCTCCTTCCTGTGGAAGAAGAGGAACTGTCTTTTCCATAAGGTCCTAAGTGGTGGAGCTTGAGAGATTTCAGAAAATTTTGAAGTTTTCTAGCTTTCTGATTTCCCTACAGAGTTTATAGAAAAATTAAGTTTTTGATAATAAATCAAAATAGGCTTATTATGGCAAGTAGTTTGTTTCATGGTACATAAGACATTATATTGATGATGATGCATAGAAATAAACAGAACATAAATATATAACATCTCCATTTGACTTTTTGCAACCACAAAGTATGAATACATTTTTTCTCTCTCTCTTCTTTTTTTTTTACTTATTTATATTTTTCTTTTTTTATGTTTTTCTCACCATAGATTGTTTATAATCTCATCTATCGTGTGCATTATAACAACAGAACTAAACTGCTGATTATATTTATAACAGAACTAAACTGCTGATTATATTTATAACAGAACTAAACTGCTGATTATATTTATAACAAAAGAACTAAACAGCTGATTACATTTATAACAAAAGAACTAAACAGCTGATTACATTTATAACAACAGAACTAAACTGCTGATTATATTTATAACAGAACTAAACTGCTGATTATATTTATAACAAGAGAACTAAACAGCTGATTACATTTATAACAAGAGAACTAAACTGCTGATTATATTTATAACAACAGAACTAAACTGCTGATTACATTTATAACAGAACTAAACTGCTGATTATATTTATAACAACAGAACTAAACTGCTGATTATATTTATAACAACAGAACTAAACTGCTGATCATATTTATAACAACAGAACTAAACTAGCTGATTACATTCATAACAGAACTAAACTGCTGATTATATTTATAACAACAGAACTAAACTGCTGATTACATTTATAACAGAACTAAACTGCTGATTATATTTATAACAGAACTAAACTGCTGATTATATTTATAACAGAACTAAACTGCTGATTATATTTATAACAGAACTAAACTGCTGATTATATTTATAAGGAGAACTAAACAGCTGATTACGTTTATAACAACAGAACTAAACTGCTGATTATATTTATAACAACAGAACTAAACAGCTGATTACATTCATAACAGAACTAAACTGCTGATTATATTTATAACAACAGAACTAAACAGCTGATTACATTCATAACAGAACTAAACA